TCTGCAGAGCCCTCTCTTCAGGCCAAGCAGCTGCAGCTGAAGCGCGCCCGGCTGGCAGACGACCTCAATGACAAGATCTCCCACCGGCCCGGACCAATCGAGCTGGTGCACAAGAACATTCTGTCTGTGCCCTACCCCGTGCACAACGCCCTACTGGGTAAATACTAGTACATACATTCTTACATGTCACCTTCAGTGCACTCCGGTTAAAGGCACTGTACCTGATTTTTACTGTCTTTAAAATGTGAAAAACAGAGCTAATTAATTTTAAAAGCTTTGCAGTGGTCCAAAGTCATTCTTCACTTTATGCATTCTAAGCATTCTAGTTACTCACCACGAGTGTATAAGCACTTTTCACTTCATGGTAATGCTAATAACAACTAGCATGCAAAGAACACACTTGATTCTCAGACAATAAAAAACGATTTATTCCGCGGTATGGCATTAAAATGGCCTCCCCTCTCCATGGAGACAAGCAAGGACAAGTTAAGGGACAGATCTGTAGAGAAGCATGCATTCGTACTGTGACACACAGTATGCACTCAATGCATTTTATTCAAGGCCATTTTTAACCATTAAAACAGTAATCAAATAAATGCAAGATAAGTTTAATGCCATGCTGTGGATAATTTCATGCAAAACAGTCTTCATGGAAACAAACAGAAAATCCAAAATTCACATAGGAAGACTTTACATATATATTTATTTTATATTGTGCTTGATGTTGCCAACCATGACCTATGATCTGTTGGGGGATTTTTCTTACTGTGAATTATAGATCATAGTTTTATATTGTTTTAAAATCGATCAAATACATGAACAAAATCGGGTACAGCCACACTTTAATGTGCTCCATGTCATTCAAGCTAGTTTAACTTACAAATAAATAAAAATTTTCCAGATTCCAAACATCATATTTAGGACCAGCCAGTGTGGTGATATAAAATACTGGTCTTATCCTGCAGCTCTATTCTAAAACGCAGATACATTTAACCACCCACCCCTGCTATTGGTCAGTCTCTGTAAGGCTATGAGTGAGTGACAGAAGGATTTACCCAATCACAGTGAAGTATGAACTCTCAGAAGCAGCACACTGTTTGAGTGACTGCTTATTTGGCACATAAAAAAATACATTAATCGTGGTAAAATTTTGTTATTTTTGGCATATTGCACACCCATATGCATAGTTATATAATTCTACAGGTGTGAGCATGTTTTAGTGCATCCCTGTGCTCTCATTGCTTATGATTACAGTACATTCAGTGAGGATATCTGTAATTATGATCTGAAACACATATTTGTGGTACATAGCTTGCTGTGTAGCCTGAAGCTGATTTCCCCATCTGCATTGTGTTTAGACATGGGGCGCTTATGAAACCTGCTTGTGTTGTCAAACTTCTCTAATTTTCATTGAGGTTAAGCAATTTCTTATTTGACAGTTGAAGTTGATAAATTTCAATACTTGGTACTGGTGCTTGTAAAAGTATTATGCTGCTTGTAGCTATTAGTTTTTTTATACTTTTTTATACTTTAAACTTCAGGTGACCTAGCAACTGCTGGCAATTAGTGTACCGCAAACTTCTAATAATAAAATTGCTTCAAACTTTGAAATTAAAATGCTGTTTGTGTTTTCAGATTCCCCAAAAGGTGCTGGAGGAGAGAGCTCATCCCTGGATGAAGACAGCAGTGATGCCCTGTCCCCAGACCAGCTGACCAATCACGACTCTCCTCTGAGTGTCCTCCCTCAGATGTCCCCCTCTGAGGGACTTAGCCCCAACGGAGACCTGTCCCCCACACAGGTAAATGCTGTAACATGTGCGCATTTGCTATTGCATCCTACTTCACTTGCATATGGCAGGTTTGCATGTTTTTTTCTGGTAATTACTTTGTTTGGATAATACCTGTTGTAAGGAAGGACCATTGTTTTACATTAGTCAAGTATTAGTTTGTGAAGAAACGTAGAAAAATGGAGGAAGTAGTGCTGAGTTCCTTAAACAAAAAAACTACAAAACTACAAAAATTTGAAAGCTCAGAACTTCCAGAATTCATTCACTTAATAACTGGTTGCAAGTGCTGGTGTTTTTGTAAAGTATTGACATTTAAAATCAAAATCTTCAATCAAAATCAGTTCTTTTAAATGATCTTGAGATTGACTAGAAATGTTGTGCTTTCAGTTTCTCACACAACCTCCACCACCGCCCCCTCCGCCCCCACCTCCTCTTCCCATGAGCGGCTCCGAATCCCCCCTGTCCAAAGTCACCAACGGGACCCCCGTCACCTCCCCGACCACCCGCCCCACTCAAATCAAGGTACATGGCCTTTCACTTCTGACTTTTTCTTCCAGATATCGCCGTATCAGTTAAACCTGTATCTAAAATTATCTAACCTTCTCTTTTCCTCTTCTTTTCCTCCTATCTTCTTCCTCATCTCTCCCTCCTCCATCCCGACCTCATTTCTCATGCTTTTTCGTCAGCAGTCCCAGGCCAAGAGCAGCTCAGATCGGCCTCCCCAGAGATCCAAGAAGGCCAAAGACAACAAGCCTAAGGTCAGCCGGGTACATTCCTCTGTTTTGTGAAAAGTCCTAATGGGGACAATCACTCCCAAATGAGTTCAACACATGGGTGACAATGTTTTTCATAGAATTGTAATCGGTCTAGTTTTTCATATCTGCTTTGCTGTGAAAGAGGAAGTATAAAGTTGTATTTTTGTGTATCTAGGTAGTTGTACTTTAAGTATTTAAATTTGGTATCAACAGTCAAGTAAGGGCACAGGAGGGGAAGAGATATCAGCTTCTCTATAATTTTACTACACAGGAAGTCAAGTTTAGAATGTCATGTTACAAATAGTTCAGCTTACAGAATAGAAAGTAGGTCTAATGAAATATGATGCAATGGTGAAGGCATGATGATGGGATATGGCAAAAAAAAGGAAATATAGAGAATATTAATATCAGAGAATAATGTTGACACAGTCTAAGAAAAAATACAAAATGGATTTAAAAAGCACATTTTTAGGAGCTTGTGATCAATAAGAGCATCCATGGTTCTGTTTAGGAGTCTTATTTGTTATTTGTAAAATGTTATTTGAGAGGAACTTGTTTAACAGCACAAATCAGCTCACGTGCTGTTGTAGTTCCAGCTAAATCAAGTATTTATGATCAGATTGTGTTAAAACAAAACTCAGATTAAAGTCTATGTTGGGTAACAGAGCCTCAGACAAAGCAGTGTCTAAAGTTAGCTTCACGCCTTCAGGGATTGTCGATGACTTCATTTGCAAAGTATCAGTATACATTATGCCATTTCTGTGGTTGTGTTTCATGGTGGATGCTTGTGCGACATACTACACCTTTTAAAAACAAACTTTTAACTTTCCTATCATCATACAGTCCAGCAAAACTTGATAGGTACGCTGCAGACATGGTGTTTTTAGTGGGCTAGGGTTGTCAGAAGTTTTGAACTTCTAAAACTGATTGATACGAAATCTAATTTGAGCAGATATCAATACTAAAAAAAGGCGGGGCAGGCCCGACTCATACACACCACAGGGCAGAAATTAACCTTTCTTGAATAGCTTTAGAACAATCTTGAGCAAGTAGAACAAGTATAAGGCCACATAAACTACTTAATTGCACAGATATAAGTCTGCATGGTAATATAAAAGCGAGTACTATGATTTAATGTCGAAAATTACTGTCTATTGTCTAAACAGTGTTTTTATCATCATGGTACTGGAATCTGTATTGAGTATCAAGTTTATTCCTTAAGTCTTCCTAAGTTTGAAATGTTGGTATCGTGACAACACTAATTATAAACCACTTGTAGAATTACTTGAACTTAATCCAAATGGAAGCTAATATAATACCCGATAATCCTTAAGCACGCACCTTTCACCATGACTAAGCAAACTGTCATCTCCCGCAGGTAAAGAAGCTCAAATACCATCAGTACATCCCTCCGGACCAGAAGGCGGACAAAGAGCGCCCCCCGCAGATGGACTCCTCTTACGCCAAGCTGCTCCAACAACAGCAGCTCTTCCTCCAACTGCAGATCCTGAACCAGCAGCAGCAGCACTACAACTACCACACCATCCTGCCCGCCCCGCCCAAGTCAGTACCACCGCCGCCCTATTTGTGCCTATTCGACTGTGTCAAGGTGTCGGGGCATGGAATTGTACCCACACCCATTTCCTCCCCTTGTAAAACTGAATAGGTTGATTTATATATTGGGCATTTGTACAGGAAGCGTCTGTGGTCTGTTTTTGCTGGTATAGCGATTTGGCATTGAGTCTCTGAAGCCAAGAGGTTAGCAGGCACAAGCTAAACTTATAGAGCATGCTAGGAAATGACTGCGGTCTGTGTATTCGGGTGACTCATTAAAAGTGACGTGTTGTGCTAATATAGTTTTGCTTATATCACAATCGAAAGTGTGCCATTTACTGAAAGAAAGTAAGCAGTTTTAACCTAAAAATTAAGATGGAGAAATTCAGCATTTTTTTGTTGTATTTTCATCATAGGGCGTGCCTAGATTTTGCTGTTAGTGACCTCTGGTGGCCAAATTAAATTGTCTTCCTAGTTTGTATAGCAAGTAAAAAGATTCTGGTTATTTTAATTAAAATCTGTACTGTGTAGCTTTTCTGGTGATGGGTAACGTCACCTGCTTGTCAGAAGTACACACAAGTAAGTTACACCACCAGGCCAAGTTAAGGGTAAAGTCTTTAGAGGCAACCTTGCACAGTAAGAATGCATTTTATTCAAGGTAACTTTTGAAAATTAAAACAGTAATTGAATAAATGCAAGATAAGTTTAATGCCAGGTTGTGGATAATTTCATGCATACACTAGCATCTCAATGGAAACAAGCAGATAATGGAATATCAAATAGAAAATCTATTTTGTTTGGTGTTGCCAGCATTGACCTATGGGGGGATTTTGCTTACTGTGAATTTTAGACAATAGTTTTCAAAAACCTGATGCCCTTTCTTTAGGCCTCCGAATGAGCAGCCTCCAACTACGAGCTCCGGCCCCTCCCCTTCCCGCACCCTCACCACCACGACCACCGTTGCCTCCTCCAATCAGAGCACAGCCGTGCGACCATCTCAAACTACAACAACCGGAGCCAAACCCGGAGCTCTGCCTTTGAACCTGGACGAATTCAAGGTAAACAGTTATGCAATTATCTCAACATAATGTCATATCTGTTTTCCATGTACAGGAAGTAAAATGATAAACTTCACCAGAATTTAAAACTTTTTTTTTATGTGTCATATGAACTGCTTAACCTCAAACTGAAGTTTCATGTCTATTTATAATCTCATTTCTCATCCTTTAGGTGGCCGAGTTGAAAGCAGAACTGAAACTGCGTGGTTTGACCGTGTCAGGCACAAAAAATGACCTCATCGAGAGACTCCGCAACTACCAGGAGCAGAATGGAGCAACAGGGGTGAAAAACGCACTGTCCGCCACCTCCCTCACCAGCCCCACACCCTCATCCTCCTCCTGCGTCACCAGTCCCACCCTAGAACCACAGCAGCAGCCCGGGGAGGTGGGCATCAAGATCAGCCTGCCTTCTATGGCCCACGTCCAGCCTCACCAGATCATGAGGTTCGGCAGTACCAGCTCCAGCCCCCCGGTGTCACCCTCACCCTCCGAGCGCTCGCTGGCCGGGATGAGCCCAGACGAGACCAGCTGTAATGGGGACATGTTTGGTGAGATGGTAAGGTGACCATAAGAATTCTTAAATGTAGTACTAGGACATTTTGAGCTAGTTTGTTACTCCATATTACCATTTTATTTTATTGTTTTATTTCGACCAACACTTCAAGCTTGCTGTAATAGATGTTTCTATTTTTTTTTTATATGCAAACTAGTATATTCCAGTTATAGTTACATTAGTTATTAGTATTGTCCAAGTTACTCACAGTTGCACATATTTTTTTAGCTCAATATTGCAAAGATCTGTCTGTGTCATGCGTTTTAACATTTTTTTATGTACACAGACATAGTAACTCTGCTTCAAATAATTTGCCTGAAGTTATTAAAACTGTTGCTCTTTCAGTTTGATTTTGAATAATTGTATAGCCCCAGAATCTCAAAGCTAAATGTATATATTTTTTAAGAATTTCTTTGTAACTCCATAAATGTTTGTGTAATCTTCAGGTGAGCTCCCCTCTGACCCAGCTCAGCCTGCACCCATCTCCCCAGCACCCCTCCACCCCCATCTCCTCTCTGCCCCAGTCCCTCTGTGCTGTTAAGGAGGAGACCCGGACCCCCTGCAGCTTCCCCAAGCCTGAACCCACCACCACCACTGTCACCATGGAAACCACCCCCATGGACAAAGACCAGATGCTGCAGGAGAAGGACAAGCAGATCGAGGAGCTGACCCGGATGCTGCGCCAGAAACAGCAGCTGGTGGAGACGCTTCGGTCCCAACTGGAGCAGGGCAAGACTGTGAAGACGGAGGACATGGAGAGCAGGCCCGCGTGCGTACAGGTCAAACCACCGACTCTCATCAAGGCCTCCGCTATCCAACCGCCCACGCTGCCCAACGGTGTGGTGATCAAACTCAAACGAGAAGATTCCGAGGACAAGATGGAGGAGGATTCGCAAACCAAAAAAGTGACTCAACCAATGCAGTGTTCGCAAGAGACACTACTAAGGCTACAACAAATCCACCGACTGCAAGTTCAGCAAGCAGAGCATCACAAGCAACAACCTACACAAGTCCAGAAGGCGACGGAGGTGAAGGCCACGCCCACCCCGAAAGTGCCGCAGCTAAAGAAGGACGCGCAACTGCTGCTACGGCAACAGCAGCAAATCCAGCAGTTAATCATCCAGCAGACGCAGCAGAAGCAGATGCAGGCTAATAAGCTACTCACGCAGAGTCCAGTCAAGCAGGTCCAAGGTGCGCTCCAGACCCAAAAGAACCAAGTCAAGCAAGTCCAAGTGCACATCCAGAATCAGCACGTCACGGCCAATCACAGCGCGGTCAACCAGAGCGCGGCCAATCACAGGGCGGCGTCCAACCAACACAAAAGGCAGCACAAGGTCCAGCAGAGGCAGCAGCAGAAGCAGCCCGTGGCGCCAGTCACCACACAACAGGTGAACGACAAAAAAAATAATGATGATGGAATGAAAATGTAATAAATAAAATTAAGTTGTAGGTTCAGACTAGACCCTTTACCTGATTTTTGTCCATCCAGCAAAATTTGGCTGGCTGCAGTGCAGATATATTCTATAAGCAGGTCTTGAGGTCAAAATAAGTCAGCTGTGTACAGTCTGCATCTAATTGTAAAGTGTTTTCTGTTCGAGAATCAGGAAATGTGCGGTTAGCACGCTAGTTGTAATGCTAGTAGCATTACCATGACGGCAAACACCACACTGGTCTCTGAAATTTGTGGAAAAGCATGTATATAATGAAAGAATAATTAGGATGCTCAGAATACATATAGAGTATAACTTTGGACCTTAACTGGTTCTGTTTTTTCATGGTTTTAAGACCGTAAAAATCTGGTAGGTCGCATTCACAACTATCTAGAATTTGATTTTATAATTTCAGGTGGAAGGTAGCAGTAAATTTTATTATGAGCTGTTTTGGGGAAAAATAAGTTATTATTTTTGTCAGGAATTGCCTCCACATTAATTTTGTCTACCATGAATAATTATCATGCTTGCACTGGCACATTTGTACAGGCAATTAGAATGTCTTGCCCAAGGACACAAACCAAGTATTTAGTACCAGGGAAACTGCCAACCTTCGAATGTCACTAGAAACAAAGCTATCTGAAGTATTTATGTGTTTTATCTTCCTGTTATTCAACATTTTGAGACCTTTTTCCTCATTGAAACATTTACCATCGCTATGGAAACAGTCTTAACATTTCATCATTCTGAAACTTCATGTATAGTCTTTTGTAGATTTCACTCAATACAAACTTATGTTATCTTGTGTTTTCCGTGGCAGGTGACGTCAGTGGTCATAAACCAGCAGAACGGCACCCAGATCCACACTCAGGCCATTTCTTTAGACCTCCTTAAAACCAACGGAGCACCCACGCTGGTCACCGATAGCAACGGCAACCATTACCTGATCGCCCTCACCAGTAACCCGAGCGAGAGCCAGAATGGCGTCTCGTCATTGGCCAAAACAAACGGGCGAATCACACTCCAGGTACTATATGTATTCCCCAATGTTGTTATTGTAGTAATAAAGTAGTTTGTTTGTAGCACTGACAGTGAATTTTGTATTTATTTATTTCTGAACAGAGGTTGCAGTCCACTCCAACGAAGCTCCCCAGCACTAACACTGAAAGCCAATCAAAAGAGCAGCCACCAGCGGAGCCAGTGAGCCAGCCAGTGAAAAAGGTACAGCTGAGAACTAGTACACAACTATACGAAGTTATACAAGTTGAGTTGTGCAGAATACAGCTGTTTAACATATGTAAAGTACATAGATAACAAAGGCAAGAAATTATCAACTGCTTAATTCGGGTTAAAGTCATAGGTATTAAAACATTTTTGACATAACACTTTTCTACCACAAGATGTCACTAACATAATAGGATAGCAGATATTTGGTTGCGTTCATAATGACGCCACTCAACAGATAAAGAGTTAGACGAAGGACAGGTTTGACTTCTGAAGTTAAACTGTTAAATGCTCCTGATGCTTTAATATAAATGCAATTATTCGGCCACCCACATGAAACACCCTGTTCTGTCAGCACGAATGTACCAAGTTGTAAATTTATTCTCTCCATAGCATCAATAATTACCATTAAAAGATTTGAGAGAGAAGATTAATACTGCAAATTTAGGAGCAAACATAAAATTGTTTTGTTTTTTTAATTGTGAATTAACCATACTCTCAGTGACCCCTCCCCTTTATCTGAAATTAACTTTTGCCTATGTGCCTACAGCAGGTCAGACTTTTACCAAAACACAGTTCATTTTATTTATTTAAGATTTTTGCAAAAACATGCACACCCATTTACCCAATCTGGCCAGTTTTTATGTTTTAAATTTTACTTCTTGGCTGGAAATTGTGACCTCATACTAGGGACATCTATAACTCACCTTGCAGAACACCTCTAATGTACACAAAATTACTATCTTATAAATACAAATATAAGAAAATACTTTTATTTTGTTGAAATCATGTTTAAAGTATCAGAAAAATTGTGTTTCTTGTGTGTAAATTGTGTCTAACTTTTGTATAGAATTCTTCATGGTGTGATGTAAACAATGTTTGAACTTAACATATTTTTCAACTTTTGCTTCTTCATGAGTGGTGTAAAACTATCATTCATATTTACAATAATTATCCCACCAAGTTAAGTCAAATGAGAGAATAATTAAAATTTGTCATACACACTTTAAGCCTGTTGCTTGATTAGTTACTTGTTTTAATAACTACATTTGTTGTGATGTGTTTAGGCGCAGAAACCAGGACTACACTTAGACGTGAACGGTGCTCCCCAGCCCAACCACTCCGTCACTGCGCCTCCCACCATGCAACCCTTCTTCGACGACCTCTCCGACAGTGAGAGCCACAACAACATCATGTCTTCTCTCAAGGTACACGCCCCGAATCTCTCCATCACCATTCTCGTTCTTCTCCTGTGCAATAAACTCCATTGATCTTGGTCTTTTCTTTTTTTTCCCCTCTTTTTCATCTCATCTGTCCATCACTGCACAGAGAGAGCTGGTGTGTCTGCCTTACGACCGGCACGCTCTGTTCACCCCTCCCTCCCCCAAACCCAACACCTCCCCCTGCTCTCCGCGCTCCAAAGTACGTCTGCGCTCCATCCTTTCTTTTCCTCTTTTTAGCACAATACTTTTCTTCTGCTTTCTGTGTCAATTTCTGCTTTAAATAAAGTGAGTTTTAGTTCCTCCAAAAATAGTGTCTGGGTAATGCCAGTTTTGAGATCTAGAATAAATTTATTTTACTTTATTATATTTTTGCATTTGTTTGTCAACCATCGTTAGCCCTAACATACACCTAATATTTTTTATATCTGATATTCAGAAAGCAACATTTTATCTTTAGGTTTTACTTGTTGTGGAAAAAATGCCTTGAGAGTTGCTCAATCCAATGGTAAAACTAAAAATAAGCTATACAGAAGAAATAAAGTATACCTAAGCAACGCTATATGCCCAGTGCCCAGTGCATTAAACAACATGTATTTTTGTTTTCAGGAGAATGGTGTGAACAGCCAGCAGATGGATGACCTGTTTGACATCCTACTAAAAAGTGGAGGTGAGATGGACTGTGCCTACCTGATTCTTAAAAACACAATGAGTTCATTTTAAACAGTTTGCAGTGGTCCAAAGTTATTCTCTATTTTCCTAGCGCATTCTTAATATCCTATTTAATATCTAGTGAGTTTTTATAAGCCCTTTTGACAAGAGGCCAGAGCAGAGTTAAGAGTAAAGGGTAACGACAAATAGCATGCTAACAGTGCACCAGCCTTTCTGGTTCGCAAAGAATAAAAGCAGAAGCAGACTTCATACAGCTTGACCTTTAGAAGTGCTTAAACCAGACCTCAATATGTCCTAAACGCATTTGATTTTATTATAGTCTCATACCCCAAATCTGTCCTGTTCCTTGTTTAATCTACTTTCTCTGTCTCCACAGAAATCCCCGGCTTCAAGTCCAACCCAGACCCCTCTCTGGCCCCCCTGCACTCGGACCCGCCCTCCCCCACCTCTCCCCCTTCCCCACTGCATCTGTCGCCCCCCACCCCCACAGAGCCCATCATGTGCCCCCCGCGGCCCGACCGGGACCCCTGCAGCGGGACGGGCCGGCTGGAGGACTTCCTGGAGAGCACCACAGGAGCGCCTCTGATCGGGGTGGAGCCGGATGGAGGGCTGACACTCATAGACGACCTCCACAGCCAAATGCTCAGCACCCCCAGCATCCTGGAGCACCCGCCCTCCCCCATGGACACCTCCGACCTGGGCTTCTCCCCACACTCTACGGGCCTGGACTTCGGGGACGCGGCTTTGGACAGCATGGACTGGTTGGACATCTCCATGGTGAGCGGAGGGGGCGGGGTGAGCAGTAGCGGTGGCGTTGGGGAGCGGGAGGGGGGTACGGGAGCCCCCCTGGTGTCTCCCCACACGCCCCAGAGTGTCTTCTCTGCTGATTTCCTGGACAGTACGGACCTGCAGCTGCACTGGGAGTCGTGTTTGTAGCCACGGGACTGGGACACTGGTTCACATGTACAGGCTGTGTTTTACATGCACATACACATATGCTGTACCACTGCGGGAGGGGGGAGGGGCCATATGCAAACACGCACACACCGCCCCACGCCCGCCCCACGCCCGCCTCACTGTTATTGATGCGGGGCCGTCACAGGACAGAAGAGCTCCCTGAGCTGGAGGTTTGAGTTTAAAGAAAAGCCAAAGCAGTCCCCTATGTGACGGCCCCGTGGACTCCGGGCAGCTGTGGGCCACACGCTGAATGTCCTACACCTGAGCTCACCACATCTGTGTCAGTGCCTCTTGAATTTTGCACTTATGAAACGCATTGATTTTAAGGGGAGGGGGGGTCCCATGAGCGCCACCTTGTGTTGAATTGATCAGCAGAGCCCTGTATAAAAGGCAGCTGGCCTCACCATGGCGACACAAGCCCCGCCCGCACTAGTCAAAGAAGCCAACCTTCATTGGTTGGCGGTTGCTGTTGAAGCATCGGTGACAACAGTTTGAATAGAGCCTCATTGAGGTGCATATTATTGGTAACATTATGGTAGACCACTATGTATTGCTGTATATGGGGTGTATATTATCAATTGTCCATATGAATATTTTTCTCTGCTGGCTGCTTAGAGTCAAGTGGAGCCAGCTGGGACGTAAGGTCAGGGCCGGGCCTCCAAGACACTTGGACCTTGTCTTTTTATAAAGAAAAAAGTTGAAAAAAATAAATATATGAAAAATCAAGAGCTGTTTGAGTTTTTATTTATGAAAAATCTGCATCACAACATGTTGTAACTGCTGTTCTTCCAGGCAAACCTGATTTCAAATGCATGAACTATATTTCCATTTGACATGAAAACCACACACAACCACAGCACTTTTACAGATTAGCCACAAGAGAGTGCAATTGTAAAGAAATTGAGAACAATCTACACCTGGAAAAGCTATGGCTAACGATCAACAAACCTAGTGTGCATCAAACAAGTGTAATACAGTGTTTTTTGTAGATTAAAAAAAAAAAAATGCTTGAATTGTCGACAATACAACTATCATACGTTATGTGGCACATTACAAATGTGAAAAACACTAAACTGTAGAGCCAGATTTGATCAATTCATATAAATCCAGGATATTATGGAACATATCTGACTCCACGGCCCCAAACAATGATCTGTGCAGTTACTCACCCACATGTGCCTCAGATCAGACCCCGTCTACCACTGCTTCTATTACAGCTGCCATTTACAATCAAGAAGAACACTGGTTTGTAGTGTAAAAGTGGTGTGATTCTGCTGAACCAGTGTTGGATTTGTTTAAACGCCTCTCGGATAGAAACCCCATGGAGAAATATACGCTCTAGTGTCCCACTAGATCCTTATGTGTTTCTAAAAGATGGACTAACCCAGTTCAAAATGTAAAAGTGATTTCAGTCTGAAACACAGAGAATCCAATTGCAACAAGAATACATGAACTATGTAGACAATACTCATTTAAAAAGTGAACAATGTAATGAAATATATCTTCAGGTTTAAAAATTATAATTACAAAAAATATAGAAACTGATTTGGAGCTTCTCAAATTGACCAGACTTAAAATTACCAAACCAAAATGATGTATTTAAAGGTCTTATATTTCACAAACTGGATTCTTGTGAGCTGTGTTAGAATGTTGCGACCTCATCAAAAACCTACCTGGAGTTGTATTTTGATTCATTCACACATGTTGAGTAATTCTTTATTATTAGTCTGTCAGAGCTCAAAAAGCTCTTTTCCACCTTACGGTAGTTTTTAAGTTAGCAGCTACTTTTTACCTTTTATTCAGTAAAGATTGAAAGTTCCTGGGCTGAAATTATACAAATGATTCTAATGAAGGTGTATGGAGATAAAAAACAAAGATGTGCACTTCCTGTATGACAATATGACATCACAAGTTGGAACAGTTTTTTCTGAACACAGCCAAATATGCAGGATTTGTGTGTTAAATGTGTCAATGAAACAAAACACAACTCCAGATTTTTTTTTGATGAGGAAACAACATTACATAGATCAGAAAATAGCATAATGGGGCCTTTCAATAAATGTTGCTTTTGTGCTCCGATATATTTTAGTTTACACTCCAAAACTTACTTAAACAGGAGCTCATGTGTTGCCAAGTAAGAACGTACATTTTGATATATTGAATATGTTTATTAATTAGTCTTTCTATTTTTTCTAGATCTGGACTTGATATTCTCTTTCTCTTTTTGAAGGGAGATCCGGAACAGTTTGACAATGTCCTCGTTGTCTTGAATGAAACTGACAATCTATCAGAGAAGAGACAATGTTACGGCAATATAAATAAAATATACTGTAAATACATAAACACATTCTTCTCATTCACTTCCCAAAACACCCACCTTGTCCAAGTGCTTCTCTGTGTCACTGACGTTTATTCCGTCCTCTCCTACAACGCCCCCTGTCATCTCGTACAGGTTCACTATGGCTATCTTGATCTGTGCCAGCAGCAGGATCTTCTTTGCAGCCGTCTTTTGGATTTTTCCCCAGTTTTCTTCCTGTAGTATGGTAAAGTAAATGGTAACAGTATTCTAAAGCATTGTGACAAACAAATCTATCTTATAATGTTGTCTCCTCATTAAAAATATACATGGAGTTGTGTTTTGTTTCATTCACACTCTGTTCCACCTTGTGATGTCATGTGGTATTACAGGAAATGCTCCACTGTGAGTTTAAACTCCATACACCTTCATTAGAATCATTTCAGCCCTAGAATTGCCAGTCTCTACTACAAAAGACAAAAGAGGAGCTGTGTAAATGAAACAAAACTCAACTCCAGGTCTGTTTCTGAGGAGGGAACAACATAATAACATGACTTAAAGCTCACGAGACTCGATTTTATGTAATAAAGGACCACAAACAATCCTGATCTTATTAATTTTCTTAAGTTTTCAAACAATCTTAAAATTTTACTCTGTGTTCGCTAATGTGTGCATTGCATCACCATGGTAACTGATGACCATTCCACTAACAGGGATGCATGCAATACACACCTATCATGATGTATCAATATCACATGAACACAACCTATTTAATCAATTCAGGCCCAGGTCTTTTTCCATATAGTGCAGTGGAGTATGCAGTATGTGTGTAGTATGCAGTACCCATATGTCTGCTTCTGATCTGCACTTCTCCAGTTCCTTGTGCAGCGTTGAGAGGAGGAAGCTGTTGTGATGCGAAGCCATGTAGAGATGGTTCTCTAGACTCTGGAGCTCATTTTGCTTTGTATTGATCTCCTCCAACTTGATGCTTTCGGCTTCATGCTGCTTCTCCCAAGTGTAGAAAAGGTTCTCCAAATAGTTGATGAACTCCTGTACATCGTTGAACTGCAACAGAAAACAAGAAGTACTTCAAAATAGTATATTAAAGGTGCGCTATGTTACTTTATGTTCATGGAGACGGGAAAAATCTGGTATAGCAACATTAAAGGATTAAGTTAAAGGGACAGTTTGGAATTTTGCACATAGGGCCTCATTTTCCTAGTGATCCAGAGTGGGTAAGTGGATAAGTAGCAGGATAACTATGGTCATTGACATGCACTAGCCAAGCACCAGCGACCTCTGCAAATACAAAGACTGGATAGAATATTTTAAAAAGTGTCTCCACACGTCTCCAACACTCTGGCTCACTTGGAAATTAGGTCCTATGTCCAAAATTCCAAACTGTCCCTTTAACTTTCCTGGTGAGGAGTTATTGACACTTTGCAGCTGATGTCATCTACATTCTCTGTGGATGTGATGCTAACTGTAGGCATGCTCTGTCTGAGGCTTTGTTAGACTTTGTTAGAAATTGTGCTTCATTTCAACACAATCTGACCAGAAAAAACTGACTTATAAGTGACAACTACATCCAGTGAGCTGATTTGTGCTGTTAAACCCTTTCAAAATCCCTCTCGAATCACATTACAGTCACAAGCTATAGCATTAGCCAACAGTTTTTCTCAGTTTTTTTGTTAGTCACTCTCACGTTTTGTTGAAAATCAAACTTCTAAGCAGGACCTGAAATATTCCACAGTACTTATCTATCGTGATCCCTGATAAATCACCATTGTCATCTTGGCCACTCTCTCCATGAAGTTGTAGTAGACAGCCATCTCGTCCACCAGCTTGAGTTTCTGGTCCCTCTTCTCCTTCAGCTGAGAGATCTGCTCCTCCTGCTTCCTCACCACGGCCCTCTTCGCCTCCACGATCTCCCATTGCTTTTTTTCCTTCTCCTCTTCGATAGCAACAGATTTAGTCTGTCAGAAAGAATGAAATTACAAGTTGTATAGGTGTTGGCAGTAGTAGTATTAGAAGTATTAGGAGTGAAGGTAGTACCTGTAGGAGTGCGCCGTATCCTTCAGACTCTTCCTTGGCCTCTTGTATTTTCTTGGTGAGCAACTTCTGTTCTTTTCTCAGAGATTCCAGACACTGTGTCAAAAATATGTGAAAATATATTTGAAATGTACACTAATCTCTCAAAGTTGCACATTCTAATTTGAAATTTTCACCCAAAATCAGAGCTGTCCAACAATCTATATTACTATTATTTCATTCGTTCATTGTTGTCACTCTGGTCTTCAGGTTGTCATTGAATTTTGGAGGAGAATATACCTTTTAAAATATCCATAAAGAATTAAACATATTTTTATTTTTAAAGGACCTGATTTTGAACAATGAGGAATGTTTAGTGTTTTCCTTTCTCTTTATAATGCACAATCAGTAGGGATAGTGTCAGTTTTCCGATGATTCTTTTTAAACAATGTACCTAAGTAGGACTGAGAATCACAGGGTCATGTTCAGTATGTAGTTCAGTATGAGTGAGGCCCACCTGTGTCTTGTTCCTGAGTTGTTCAAGGAGCTCCTCGTTTTTGTAGCGGAGCAGAGCCAGCTCTTCTTTTGGGCTCCTCTCCTGAATCAACTCCTCCATCTTCTTCATCATTTTCACACCAGGAAAACGTTTAGATTACCAGTCAGTTTTGTTAACTTAGATAAAAAGGTTTAGATTCAAAAAAGATAATATCAGTTGTCTCCATAGCAACAGTAAACTATGACTGGGAGCAAACTTCCTAATATTAGGTAGTTGGGCAAGTAAGGATTCACTTTAACTATAAAATAAATAGATCATTATTTTGCATTTTGGTCTTTGTAAACCATAATAATCACTATAGAATGGCGTAAAGCATTGTTTCCCAAAGACTGGATGACGACCCTGAGTGGGTCACAAGGGATTTTTTTGGGGGGGGGTTGCCTTGTCATGATCTGCATGTAGGTCTGTAATATAGTTATATAGTTCTGATCTGTGACCTTATCTTCATTCTGGATCAGCATTTCATCAGAATATCCTGTTCTCAGTAGGGCCAGTATTTCTATTCTTATTCCTTTTCACTACGACATATATGTGTGAACTGGGATTTTCTGTGTTCACAAAAATGAAGACAAAGCAAAGAAACAAACTGAATGCTGCGCCTGATCTTCTGCTGCTCTCTCCTCCTGCACCTGGAATGGAACATGCTACTAAAATGCAGAGACCCACCTATCTCATTAGAATAATTTTGATAAATAATTAATTGATAATTTTGTACAATTTCTAATCTTTTTGTAATTATTTTATTGACTACACAGCAAATTTGAGTGTTAATTCAACTAATATATATATATATATATATATATATATATATATATATATATATATATATATATATATATATATAATTTTTTTTTTTTTTTAAGACTTTTACCATGTCATATGGGGTCCACAATCAAATGAGTTAAAACTACACTTTCCAAAGTGTAGAAGGCTCAACACTGGTAAAGTGATGTAACCACACTCCTCATAGTTGAATTTGACACCGATTAAGAATAGATTTTTTTACGCTAGTGTATAGTGAAAAACTATTAACTCTATATTTCTGTGTTTTAACACTTTAAAGTTAACACTTTATGAAGTAGAAATAGAGTAGAGTGTTCTTCATGTTACACTATTCAATAGTAACTCTTTCTTCACTAAATACAATGTAAATGCTGTGGTCATTCTAGGCCATCATCCCTTTTAGAAATGTAAAATAATGAAAACCACCACAAAATTCCATTTCAACATAACTTGTATGAAAACAATGCACATCATACAATCAACACAATTTAAACAAGTCATATGACACAATACTATTTTTGAAAAATCCAACTGACAGCAGGAATTCTGTGTGCCCTCAACAGTTGGTTACAATGATTGTCATTTATTTTTTTAAAGTAAATTTTTCAGCGCATGGATGAATCACGGTCTTGTTTTGAATGGAATTCAGGCATGTTCATCTCCAAAAATGAGAGGAGCATGTCTGACTGGTTGAAACAAGACCTTTTCTCCATTATATAAACATAACAATGTTCACAATAGAGGCAGTCCTGCACATTATGAAACATTAACATCACAGAAACTTTTTACCTCAAGAGTCAGTCTTTCACTCTTGGGGTTTCTTTTGACACATCCAACGTCCATGTTGTAGACAGTTCTTTGAATACAGATGTAAAGTTTCGGAGAGTCTGAGGACCAAGTGCCTTGAAGTGTTCACCAAATTCAACCAGGTCAATGATGACATAAAAAACCTTTGTCCTTTCCACTTCAGTCACAGGTAGAAAGGTCGTCCAGGCTCAACCAGCAAGAAATGTGTCCATGCCGATCTGTAAAATAAAATATAGAATAGAATAAATATAACATATTCAAGTAACCACCTTGCAAAACGGGCTATGCAATATTTAATGAGCCATGAATAAAAATTAAAAAGTAAATATATAGTAAATATAATATGGTGCATATATCATTATTTGTTTTTTCCTATTAACAGGTTATTTTGTTGCATGAGCTGTATGTTTTTGTATACAGGAACCATTAAAATAAATAACTTGAAGGGTAATTTGAAAAAATGTAGCCCCTTAGAAAAGATTATTTTTAAATGCAAGACCCACAAGAAACAAAACACCTAAATGCCATTAATCACAAAAATAGAATGAGATTAAGGCAAAAAGTACACTACTTAGCACATAAAATTCAATAAGTCAATTAAGAAATTATTGGTGAGGTTACATTTCAGTTCCACATTTAACCATTTCATGACATACCTGCAAATCTCTGACAAGATGGAGATCTTTCCACTATAGCCTTCAGGGGCTGGGGATGCATGTGAACCAGCAGCCTAAAGAAAATACAAAAAAAGAATGCATCATTACTCTTTTTGACTAAAGGTCAATAGCATGTTAAGACATTGTACTGGGTAAGACATCATACTTGAATATATTTTATTATTACAGAATACTACTAAACTTTTGATTCAAATAATTTTAATAATTCTCTACTTGATACAATATCATACTTCAACACACCACACAAAAGTGTGCACATTTATAAGATATTATTAAATTATTAGATTTTCGTTTGGAAATGGGGAATCAGCACTGGGTGCAGACAGAGATAGGGCCGTGTGAGGGCGTTTGGATCGGGGCTGCGTGAGATTGTGGACCCGCTGTTTGCGGTCTCCTCGAGATGGAGCTGAGGCAGAGCGGGACTCACCTGGTTTAGACGTATGCGGGTGTCGGGTTAGACCTGTTCAAATGCGGGTTTAGTCCTTGTTAAGAGACGATTCCACCTCCTCTGGTGCCCAGTCCACTCCAGGCTACAGGGCATATACCGCATCCCCGCTGCCCGTGATGTACAGCCTGCAGAAACACCAGGAATTCCGACAGCTTCCCTCAGTGTAGTGTAGCTGCTGAGAGCCTCTCCAGTCCCGCTAAAGGCAGTGCGCCGCTGCGCCGTAACCCGGTCCGGAAAGTGAAGAGCATCATGGACACTTGTCACAGGGCTTTGAGGGCTGCTCTACAACAAAAACACGAACATAAAGCAAATAGTTTTTCGGCTTACAACAAACTGTTAATACTAATTGTTCAGAGAGACAGGATAACTCAGTCCACAATAAAATATCCTCATGTTCAATAATGTTCAATAATGGTCAAATCTAACTTATTTTAATAATGTCTATTGACTTGTGTTGCGAAGGTTTGTGACTTTTAAAATATGGGTCCCCAGAAAAAAAAAGTTTGTGAAACACTGGCATAAAGGGACCATATTATGCTATTTTCTGATGTATACTATAATGTTTCCTCATCACAAACATACCTGGAGTTGTGTTTTGTTTCATTTACATGTTTAACACACAAATCCTGCATATTTAGGCTGAGTTCTTCTCTCAAACTGAAAACACTCTTGTGACTTGTTCACTAGAATCATTTGGATAATTTCAACCCTGGAAATTGAAATCTACAAATCTTTTCTTGAGATTTCAGGCGATCCTAACACTTTTTAGTCTGTTAATGTGTGCATTGTGCCACCATGTGCATTGTGTCACCTTGGTAACCGATGACCATTCCATGATAGACATACATGTAGAACACCCCCAGCACAAAACCAGCACCTTGACAGAACTTTGTAAACATCCTATACAAAAATTCTGATTGATGTAACTCTTTGCTGTCTCCACAGTGTCTGACCCGAGCAGTGATGTCTTGGTATTCTCACGTATCTCAGGCCTGATGAGGATTCACACCACGCTAACATGCAGCCAGCTCAGTACATATAGACGCACTCTGCACACACGCATGCACATCTCAGCGGTAGTCCCGTCTCTTCGTCTCTCAGTGTAAACTCCTTTGAAAATGGCACTAGTGTTGTACAATGAAAGAGTCCACAGCAGCAGCAAAAACAATTATTACTTAGACTGGAAAATTAAGCAAATATTATTATTATTAGGTAGGTGTTTAAAATAAGAAAGGTGCATTGTTTAGTTTATTTATTTAATGAGACAGGGACAATGCACAAGATACATTAACCTTAACACAAGAGATGCATTGTACCAGGTTGTAGCACCAGTGCTCATTTCCACTGGTCATCCCTGGGCAGGTTGATGTTGTAGTTCATAAAATCAAATATACAAAGAGAAAGTCTTTATAATGACCGGAGCATCATAACTGTAAATCTGTATCATCTGTATCTGTATCTTCATTCACATGCAGTTCTCTCAACACCTTAAATTCATCATCCTTTATCAAAATCATCATTCAATTTATTCACTCCAGAACATCAGACTCTCTCCAGACACTCATCAGCCACATTATGGTTTGAAAGGATCCACTGAAAAATGTGACCATTTGCCAGTATGTGCACAGGTGATCATCAAGGTTTAGTTTTGGGTCCCTTATTCTTCTGCAATTAACATGATCCATAGAGCTATAATTGATTAGCCTTTTTACAAAATAAAATGGGCAAAAATGCAAACAACACTGGGAAGACCAGAGAGAAGTGAATATATCCCAAGCAAAGCAGATCATATAGAAAATAAGTTCAATAGGCCATGACAAACATAATAAATACTAAGATCCAGATGTTTAGGTAAATAGTTTATAAGGGGCTGTCATGTATCTGTAACCACAGTTATTAATACTGTATTTAAAAATGAACTTCAAAGCTGTTTTAAAAGAATGTGTGGTTTATAGAGTGGTCAAAGGGATTTCCATACCACTTGTATCAAAGAGATGTTAAGCAGCACAGACCTTCAACTTGAGTTGCAATTTGAGTTGAAGGTCTGTACAGAGAAATTTGACGACAGAACAAATAAGGGGACAATTTACATTGTCTGATTTTTTATTTTTTTATTTTTTTAAGCTTTGTTGAGCAAGGGAAATTATTTGGACACAGTAGCCCACACATCACAATATAATATGATAACAAAGAGCAAAAATATAAATGGTAATAGAACCAGTAAAAAGTTGTCAGGTTATAGGTTTGTCAAATAAGGCATAATTATATAAATGTATAATATGTACAAGTCAAAATAAACTATAGAGAATAGTAATACAAATATACATCAGCTATATACAAGAGATCAGAAAGCAGTGTCCTGCAGAGTCACTGTGACCTGC